GGTGGCTTTTAAGTGGTCTCTGACATTGTCCAGTGTAAATAAAGTGAGGGACCCGCCTTTGCAGCGGACGCACTTAAGACAGGAAGAAACCGGAAAGTCCCAGTAATCACCATAACAACAAATATCATTGATGCGCTTATTGTGCATCTGGCTTTGATGGAGGCAGCGATCAAAACCAAAGCTTCATCCCGCTAGAAGTTCACAGTGAGTGACAGCGTGCGGCTGCTTGACGACCAGGACCCCGGGTCTCAGCACTTGCAGTCACAGAACTGCTTCTGTTCCTGACAGGATTGACTTTTGCAGCGGCTCACTGTCTGTCTGGAAAGCGCCAGGGTAGTTTGGTGCTTTGCCGGGCGAACAAGAGCCCTCGAGAAATGCTTGGGCCCGTCACGTTCCTGTGGAAAGCCAGGAGGAGCCCCGGGGACCTCGCCGAGAGCCGGCAGCTGTGGATCTGGCTGCACCCGACTCTTAAACAGGTACCATCCTTCCCGTTAATGCGCCCACCGCCGGCCTGCACCTGATGTACAGTGGGCCTCGGTCCTGCGGAAGTTTAAAGCATGCCAACCTTTGACCAATCAGCTTGTCGTTTCACCGGGGCAGGGTTGCGGGGGAGGCTGAGTGATATTAAATGAAGCAACGCTTGACCTCTCACCTTTTATATGAAAAGCAAAACAAGCAGTGCTGCCTCCCCTCGGCCTGAGTTGGTGCACAGGCATCCAGTGTCGTTGAAGGGAACCTGGCCCAGAGTCATTCTGATGATTTTCTTTCTTCTTTTTAATGCCATGTCTCGGTAAGCTTCCCTTCCTCGGCATATTCGCTCTTTACCGATGTTTCTTTCTTTTTCGTTGGTCAGCGTGGTCTTGTAGATCGCTCCGTGATCTTCGACATTTAGCAGGACTGTGTGCCTGTATTACCAAGAGCTTCTCAAACTGCCCCCCACCCCCCACACCCCCATGCTGAGACCCCGGGGGATTTCCACCTACAGTTTGTGGAGAGACAGAAACGTGAATTCTTTTCAAAAGGGGGGAAATAACGCGGAGTGAGGCGAAACCTTGCATGTGTTTCGAAGTCACAGTTTAAAAGTCGCTGCTGAACTGTCTCCGCAGGAGGTCTTAGGGGAAATCAAAGCCGTGTGCCGGTGCACGGCGGCTGCCTGCCGCCCCGACCCCCCCCTGGTGCCCCCCCAAGAAGCAAGCCAGATCGAAGCTCTCGGCAAGAAAAGGAAACGGGCGGAGGACGGAGACCATGCCAAGCCGGTGAAAGTGGTTTTCGGGGACAGAACGAGAGCGCCCCAGGAGCCACGCTCTTGGGCGTCACCGAGCACTGGCCTTGTCGTCAGGTGAGGGCGGGCCTTGCTCAGCACCCACTGGACCTGTTCAGTGGGTGCTCAAGCCCACCTCCGTTTGTACCAGTGGCACTGACCTGGCACGAGGTGGGAGTCCCCACTTAAGAGCTCCTCTCTCTCGTAGCGATTTGACGATGGAGATGAACCGATTCCGGCTGATTGGTCCGCTCTCCCACTCCGTCCTCACCGAGGCCCTCAGAGCTGCTGCTGTCCACACTGTACGTAAGAGGCAACGCGGCCAGCTGTGTTTCCTTCTCGTCCCGGCGCTGTTGCCATCCAGTCAGCGGAGCCTGGGTCAAAATTAAGGCGTTCCGGGGGAAATGTGGGTTTGGCTCTGGGCCTGTTATCCCTGAGATCAGAGGTGTAAACCCAGCAGCTGCTCTCAGGGAGACAGATGAGGCTGTCTGCTCCCGTCAGGGATTGTGGCCTCAGAAGCACTGTGTGGGGGTAGCAGCGAGTCAGAGCGGACCTGATGGCGGAGGGCGTGCTGTTTTAGTGACTGTGGAAGAGCCCCGGCGGGTGCGGTGGTGAAGGGTTGGCGATTCGATTCAACCCCTCAGCTGCTCTGCGGCAGGAACGTGCTCCCAAG